TTTATAATATTTATAATATTTTTTCAGTTACAATTGTGATACTTTTTGATTTTACACAAACAATAAGTTTCTTTATTATTGTTGTCATTGTTATGATTTTACAGCATTTATGAGGGACAAGCACTGATTGAATTGAATAGATATGGTGAAGGAATGTCTACTATACTGATGACAAGTGAAATGAATACTATAGTTTTGATGTGAATCCTTGCTCAAGAAGCTCTATCTTCCCAGCAATCCTGTAGCTAGTATTATAAACATTAATTAATTGTTTTATGTTTTTGAAATAAAATAATTCATTACACACTTGATATATGCAAGATTAATACCTTCTCTTAGCTGGAAACCTCCACTAAGTATTGCAATTTGATTCCAAGCATAGCTAGCCTATATATAGCTAGGCTGTAGCTAGGTAAAAAATACTTGCTGTTCCCAGTTCTGAGATCTGAGCATGCGCGACCACGCCCAAATTTTGGAGCACATGCTTCTTTAATTAATAAAATGGCGGCATGGGGTAAGCTGGTGCGATCCAACAGTCACAGTATCACTTCTTCCTTTCTTGGAGAATGATTCTAGGGGACAAGGACCTGCGCATACCCTGTTGGAGTAGAATGGTGTAATAATTAGCCTTCTATCACCAGGCAAGATCGATATATCGACCGACAACTGGATTGACAGGAGATCATGATGATGATGAAGATGAAAAAAGTTGGCTGAACAAAACGGCCGATTTGCAGATTTTTGATTTTCCTCCCAGAAAAGGTCTAGAGCCACGCTAGTGGTACCATTGGAGTCCTCTGGTCAAGATAAGGTCCTCTAAGAAGTCTGGTAAGCATAGGAGCTCGTTTTCCTGGTATAGCAAGGCTGCAAAAGTCGTGGCAGCCATTTTGTTTGGGGGTGAATCCTACTTAGTAACGCTACCGCGTTACTAATAACGCTACTGCGTTACTAATAGTACAGAAAATTTTGCCCGATTCTTTAGCAACTTTAAAAATTTTTTAAAAATCTAATATTTATTGGAATCAGCTTAAACTTTCTACATAAGATAAATACATGTATGTGTATCAGAAAATTATAAAAACGAAAGTTTCTTTTGCAGCCATTTTAATGTACTATATACATGCATGAGGGTAGCATTTACTTCCCTGATTTGAGAAGCGATCTTTACTATTACTATGGCATAGGGACATAGACTCTATTATAGGGCCAGCATATACTACTGCAGTGGATATTAGAGCAACAATCAGAAATATAGAGAGTGGAGACTGCATCATCTCTATCCTGAAATGACAAAAGTACTTTGTATTTCATCCTTTAAATACTATTATCTGTTATAACTATCACTAACTTAATAAATATTTATTTAATGACTAATAAAATTTGCTTTTAGTGCTATTTTGACCATTAACATCTGATATACTATAACTTGTAGTTAATAGACTGAGTTAATAAAGGTGAATTTAAAATTAAGGGGGGGGGCAGGAGCCCCTCCCTGACCCCCCGCTTCCTACGCCACTGGTATGGTTACATGTTCCATATAAGTATTTTTTCAAAGGGATTATATTTCATAACATCAGAAAATTTTAATGTTTCAAAAAACCACTTTGTGTTTGTGCTCATGTATACTTCCAGTCCTGTACAAACACTGAAGCACCATTGGCATATAATAAATGTAATAATAGCACTTATTTTGAAATTAGGAGTACCCTGAAAAATTGTAAAAAATACTATTTAAAATTGACAATTTTTATCACTCACACCACACCTTCAATTCACACAGGGTCACACCTCCATGACGATCATGGCTCCTTTTCTGTATGTTGCTGTAACAATTATGGTCTTCAAAATTTACATGTCTTGTAAGTTTTATTGTGATACCATCAAATGTTGTTATAAATTTTAGGTGCAAGTATCTTCACTATTGTACCAGTGACACAATATGTATATGTCAATGATACTGTGACATTTGAATGTGCTACTAATGTGACTGGAAGTATAAATAATAATCTTTATTTTGTTGTTGGAGGATCAGTTTACCCATCACAATCAAGTGTAACATTACCTAATAGTGGAACGAGGATATCAATTAACCTAACACCATCACTGAAATGAATCAAATGGAACTGATGTTGTTTGTAGAACTTTAAGTGGAAGTGCTACTCAAACTGTGTATTCAAGGTTAGTCGATATTGATCTGTGTTAGTGTATCATATGTATTGACAGGTCCACCTGATAATGTCAGTAATTTAACAGGATATCAGTTAGATTCTTGTTGTATGTTTATCAGTTGGTATCCTCCATTCACACTACCAGTACAGTATATAATCAGTGTAGGAACTGATCAACAGTACCTTAATGACTCTATCACTAACTACACTTACTGTCCAATGAGCCCAACCAATAAACAATATCTGTTTAACATTACAACTACTAATAAAGCTGGGAATGGATCTACTAGTAACAAAACTGTTGGATTTCAATCAAGTAAGAAGTTACTTTAATGAATTGATTTATTATTATTTCTTTATAGGTTCGCAGATGTTAATCATTTATCATACATATTGTGTAAACAGTTATTGGTACCTTCATTTCCTTTTATCAGTAAGTTAGCCACATCCGCACAATTTTGTTTACATTTACAGGCTCATCAGTTGTGTACTGGAGTGCCACTTGTTAATACTACAGTAACTGGTTGTACTGTTAGTAGTTCCAGTAGTACTTGTTATTCATCAATATAACCATTAATCATAGTGCTTATAATAACATTTCACTTTGTTGCCATTATAAATCTTCCATCAAAAGAGCTACTGAACACTAATATTATTTTATACTATCAAAATGGAGTAAAGTTTGAAAGCAACACTATAATAATCAGTAAGTGACTGACATAATTATTAATATTTTATTATTATTAAGGTACTTATAATCTTCAGGACATAATGGTGGTTAATTCTGCATTTAACAAAGTTTGTCTTCAGTTTGAGTTTGTTAACAGCAGTACAACTAATAGCATTTCCATTCACATCACTAATTATGAAGAGCCAGTTCATTCACTAGTGTACTACAATATATCTCTTAATGATCAGTTGGACTTTACTCAGTGTATTACTAACATACCAGCTGGTAATAACTTAACACTGTATGCATGTGAATCAATGGATGACTGTACTACTAATCCTGCTGCTGTATTAACTGGTATTGATATTCCTGCTATAGTCCCTAGCACTATGCTGACAAGCTACTTAAGATTACATGAAGACACATTAGAATCTACTTCTGATCCCATCTGCTATAGTTCAGTATTGTTAATGTATACTTCAACAACTACAATTTCATCTACAGTTAGATCTACCATGATGATAGAGGATTGTAATATAAGAGAAAGTCAAAGTGAAATACCTGTCACTAGTGGTAAGCAATTAACATTAATAGTATTCTGTGTGATAACATTTACCATTCTTTGATTAATACAGCAGTATTGATTAGTGTATTGAGTGTATTCCTCATACTATCACTAATGATTAATGTTATTACATTAACTGTGTGTTACTGCAAGAGGAAAGGGAAGAATGGTCAAAGTGTGTTGATTTATAAATCTACTATAATAAATTGTATTACAGGTTCACAAGAGCAAGAACTATCATCAGTTAATCCACAGTATGAGAATGTACATCTACCAGTTCCACAATCAGAACTATCAATGAAAGAATGTGCTGCTTATGGTGTAGTGGAAGGAACTAGGTTTTAAAACTTCGTGATAATCAACTGTTAAAGTTTTTGTAATTTGAAAGTAAATTTTATACTAAGTATTTTTCAATTTTTACGTTCAGTAATTGTTAAAGTTCCTATAGTGTCTAGTACTATGCTGACAAGCGACATAACAACAACGGTTTCATCAGTTTCATACAGTTAGATCAACCATGATGATGGAGGATTGTAACATAAGGGAAACTCATAATGAAATACCTATAAGTACTAGTGGTAAGCAATAAACATTAATATTTTTGTAATAATATTTACCATTCTTTCATTAATACAGCAGTATTGATTAGTGTACTGAGTGTATTCCTCATATCTTCTTTAGCAGATGTCCCACAATTGTCCCAGACTTCATGACTTTAACGGCAAACTGATCACGCCTGTTATTTGTTTCTCGGGCACAGCTAAGAGTCTCTTCTATAAAGGGACTCCACCTTTCTTGGTATACGTGATAG